AAATGTCCCAGACCAAAAACCTCATTTAAAATGCAAACAAACCATAGGAGAAAAAGAAAAACATCACGTGACTAGGGGCACAACTTACCTGGAAAAATGCTTACGAAAGAAAACACCACATCCCTGCCAGGATGAAAGATTAGGAAGCAGATGGCTGCCCACACACCCGGCTTCCCTAAACACAGTTTAGTTGGAGCTGGCCCACAATACAATTTCAATTAAAGAGAGAGAGAGAGAGAGATGAAGGAAAGAGAGTCACAGACATTAGTCCATTAATGAATTAATTTCACACTTCCTCTCCCTTTTACAGGAGCCAAAGTGGCTTCTGGGCATTTAAACAAAAGGGTACAGTTCTAAAAATTATTCACTCACAAGTTTTACAAAATTAAAATGACAGTTCAGATAAAACAACAACAACAACCACAAGGTTAGAGCAATAAAACACACAAAACATTACCTCGGAAATGACTTGAGGGCACACAGCAACAACAATAGCATACAACTCCATTGTCAGGATACAACTCTCCTGTTACGTCAATTCCACTGGCTGCTGGTCTGCTACCGAGCATAATTCAAAGTATTGTCGGAGGCTTTTATGGCCGGAATCACTGGGGTGTTGTAGGTTTTTTCGGGCTATATGGCCATGGTCTAGAGGCATTCTCCCCTGACATTTCGCCTGCATCTATGGCAAGCATCCTCAGAGGTAGTGAGATCTGTTGGAACTAGGAAAAGGGTTTATATATCTGTGGAATGACGAGGTTGGGACAAAGGACTCTTGTCTGCTGGAGCTACGTGTGAATGTTTCAACTGACCACCTTGATTAGCATATAATGGCCTGACAGTGCAAACTTTTGTTGAGAGGTGATTAGATGTCCTTGTTCGTTTCCTCTCTGTTGTTGTGCTGTTGTAATTTTAGAGTTTTTAACTACTGGTAGCCATATTTTGTTCATTTTCATGGTTTCATAAAATTATTTTCGTTGCTACTTCATAACTGTCATTTTGCTACTGTTATGAATTGTAATGTAAACATCTGATATGCAGGATGTATTTTCATTCATTGGACCAAATTTGCCACAAATAACCGATATGCCCAAATTTAAATACTGGTGGGGTGGGGGTGATTTTGTCATTTGGGAGTTGTAGTTGCTGGGATTTATAGTTCACCTACAATCAACCAACATTCTGAACTCCACCAACAATGGAATTGAACTTATCTTGACACACAGAACTCCCATGACCAACAGAAAATACTGGAAGGGATTGGTGGGCATTGAACTTAAGTTATGGAGTTGTAATTTACCTACATACAGAGAGCACTGTGGACTCAAACAATGATGGATCTGGATCAAACTTGGCACAAATACTCAATATGCCCAAATGTGAACACTGGTGGAGTTTGGTGAAAATAGACATTGACCTTTGGGAGTTGCAGTTGCTGGGATTTATAGTTCACCTACAAGCAAAGAGCATTTTGGACCCCAGTAATGATGGAATTGGGCCAAACTTCCCACACAGAACCCCCATGACCAACAGAAAATATTGTGTTTTGTGATGGTCTTTGGCTACCCCCCTTACCCCCCCCCCCCCCCAGGACCCCCCCGGACTCCCAACCCCAGGTTGAGAAACACTGCTCTATTTCATCCTTTCCCAGTGGTATGTTGGACTATAATGCCAACCAAGGGTCCTGATGACTGGTGATGATGGGAGCTACACTCCAATACACCTGGAGGTCACTGAAATGCCAGGAACCAATCTATGCATTCATTCAAAATAAATATGTATTTCTGCAAAAATTACTTCCTAGACAACTTGAAGTGATACAAAAAGAAATACTATCAAGTGGGCAAGGCTATCACAGTTGATACATAAAATGAGCTTTCTTTGCCAAAAGGTACTAGTGTGTCACCAAACTACAAATCCCAAGACTGAATAAAATTAATAGCCATGGCAGTGAAAAATTATGTCAAAGTATATTAATTCTATAGACTCACTCCAAGTCATCATTCTTATTGACTGTGTTGTAAGATACTGGTTAAAGTATGCAGTCGGTGGAGTCTTTTTCCTTTGGAAAGCTTTGCGCAACTGAAGTGGCGGCACTTGAAGTAAGGGCCCTTTCACGCATGAATTCAGAAAGGAAAGAGTGCTGGATCATCACCTTCATGTAACACAAGAAGAGCCACCACTAGACTGCTAAATATAGCAAGACAGCACTCCAAAATTGTGAAACGGAGTTTCGTAGAATATTAACAGCCCCTTAAATGGGGTTATGCACTCCAGGCATTGACCCAGTTGAAGGAAGAGAATGAACCTTTTGTTACACACATAGGAGGGAGAGAGAAAAGTGGGGGCGGATTGGAGTTTCTATGTCAGTAAGTCACTGAATACCTCACCTGGTTTTAGTCTGAACATTAAAAGAGCTGCACAACACTCTATCATCACAATGAATCACTCCATGGATGCAGGGGGTGTTTGTGTGAGTGAGTGAGTGAGTGAGTGAGTGAGTGAGTGAGTGAGTGAGTGAATGAGTAGGCGGGCCAGGGGGAGACTTGAGGGCTTCAGCCCCCCCCCCCGAAATTCTCATGGTGGTCCCTGAGAAGGCCTTACTGGTACATTATTTAAACTGTTATGTTTATTCATATCATGATCTGATCACCATGCTCAATATATCCCATATGCATGGGGGTATTGGGGTAACGATACAAAAGGTTTGCTAGGGTAGACCCTCTTTCACTCAGACTCCGCCCCCCCCCCCCCCCCCAGCCCCCCCCCCCGCCCGAATCAAAATCCTGGCTACGGGCCTGGGTGGGTGGCTGGTTGGACTTCAATAACACATTACACTGGGATGAGGAGCTTGTGTGAAATCCCTCCTCCTTTAGTGATGGACTGCAAAGCCCATCATTACAGAGTTTATTTATTTATCGTGTCAGGAACAAACCAAAACAGTTGTATTGTATTAAAAACAAAGAAAGAAACAAAACACAATTTTGCAGACTTGGTATTCTATTAAATGTCCTTTGACCAGGAGCCATTTGGAGTGCCGCACAAGAAGGTCCTCCATTGTGCATGTGGCAGGGCTCAGGTTACATTGCAGCAGGTGGTCTGTAGTTTGCTCTTCTCCACACTCACATGTCGTGGACTCCACTTTGTAGCCCCATTTCTGAAGGTTGGCTCTGCATCTCGTAGTGCCAGAGCATAGTCTGTTCAGCACCTTCCAAGTCGCCCAGTTTTCCGTGTGCCCAGGAGGGAGTCTCTCATTTGGTATCAGCCATGGATTGAGGTTCTGGCTTTGAGCCTGCCACTTTTGGACTCTCGCTTGCTGAGTTGTTCCAGCAAGTGTCTCTGTAGATCTTAGAAAACGATTTCTTGATTTAAGTCATTGGCATGCTGGCTGATATCCAAACAGGGGGTGGGCCGGAGATGTCACTGCCTTGGTCCTTTCACTATTGGTTGCTACTCCACACTGGGCATGCATACGCAGCAGCAGAGTAGCATAGCACAAGGGCAGGTATCTTCGCTGGATCTGGTTGTGATCCCCAGGTTGTGCCAGTCAACTTTTGTATGATATTGTTTGTAGCACCCACTTTTTGCTTGATATTCAGGCAGTGCAAACAGGGGGTGGGCCGGAGATGTCACTGCCTTGGTCCTTTCACTATTGGTTGCTACTCCCCGGTAGATGTCAGGTGGTGCAATACCAGCTAAACAGTGTAATATCTCCAGTGGTGTAGGGAGCAGACACCCCGTAATAATGCGGCATGTCTCATTAAGAGCCACATCTACGGTTTTAGTGTGGTGAGATGTGTTCCACACCGGACATGCATACTCAGCAGCAGAGTAGCATAGCACAAGGGCAGATGTCTTCACTGTGTCTGGTTGTGATCCCCAGGTTGTGCCAGTCAGCTTTCATATTGATATTGTTTCAGAGTATGGAGTTAATGATCAGGAAGAAAGGCAGTTGGTCCGAAGCCATAAACCAACCTCAAGCAAGTCATTTCTCATGCTACCACCTATTCATGAGAGCTCAGACGTTCAAATGGAAGGTGTCCAGAGAGGGGAGATCAAAATGCTCAAAGGTATGGAAGCAAAGCTCATTGAAGAGCAGTGTAGATCAGACATGTTTAGCTTGGATCAGAGAAGGCTCAGAAGGGATGTGATAGTCATGTTTATATATCTGAAAGGATGTTGCATTGAGGAGGAGGGGACAATATTGTCCTCTGCTGCGTTTGTCTATGCCCCTTCTACAGTGAAGTGCAGTTTGACACCAATTTAACTGGTAGACCTCAAGGCTATGGAATCGTGGCAGGTGTAGTTTCACAAGGTCTTCAGTTGGTAGGCTGTTAGGAATTGTGGGAGTTGAAATTCAAAACACCTTGAGGGCCCAAGTTTGTCTCTGCCCCTTCTACAGTGAAGAACAAGTGCAGTTTGACACCAATTTAACTGGTAAGGCTCAAGGCTATTGAATTGTGGGAGGTGCAGTTTCACAAGGTCTTCAGTTGGTAGGCTGTTAGGAATTGTGGGGTTTGTTATCCAAAACACCTGGAGGGCCCAATGCTAGGAAATCGTGGGAGCTGTAGCTTCACAAGGTGTTTAGTCAGTCCTCCCTGCCCAGGAATGCTGCAAACTACAACTTTCAGGATCCATGGCAGTTCATGGGGGTGCCAAGCTGCATTCATTTCACAGTGTAGATGCGACTTAAGTCGGCAGCTGCTTTGCAGAGAGGACTGGAAAGTCTAGAAGAGTTTGAGTCAAGATCTCCTAGGATTCCTCAGCACTGAGTCCTGGCAAGTGAAAAGTGGTAGCCAAACTGTGTTCACTCTGCAGTGTAGATGCGACTTAAGTCGGCAGGTGCTTTGCAGGCACGTTTGGGAAGGCAGGGGGGAGAGAGGATGTGCAATTAGTCCCTCCCCAAATCCCACCCATAATAACCCACGGTCCTGTTGGAGTGGGGTGGACTTTGGCTCCGATCGTGACGTCACTAGGGGGCGGGAGGGGGGGGGCACTGCCGGAGTCCTTATACCTGCGTCCATCCCCCGAGGCTCCAAAGGAGAAGGAACTCCCTCTCTCTCACACACACTCTCTCTCCATCGCTGGCCAGGCAAACTGTCAAGTAACTCACCCAACTTAGCCAAACGGTCAGGGATTCAGGTAGTTTCCCAGCTTAGCGACCCGGTGAGGGATCCAGCCAGGTAGCTCAACGAACCTGCTCATCCCCTTCGCTCTCCTCCTTTCTTCGGGGCTTCCTTTCCTCCTCCATCCTCCGCGATGTCCGTGGCTTTGGAGACGGCGGGCTTCTTCTTGGCGACCGTGGGCTGGGGGATGCTGGGGGTGACCCTCTTCAACAGCTACTGGAGGGTCTCCAGCGTCTCCGGGAATGTCATCACCACCTCCACCCTCTTCGAGAACCTCTGGCAGAGCTGCGCCACCGACTCCACCGGGGTCTACAACTGCTGGGAGTTCCAGTCCCTCCTGGAGCTGCCTGGTAAGTTGGCAACCTCCTTGGGAGGAGGGTGGCTTGGGAAGGGAAGGGAAGGGAAGGGAAGGGAAGGGAGAGAGATCTGGCCAGGAAAGGCAACCTCAGATGGTGGAGGGGAAGGGGCCTCTTCCCTCCACCATCACCATCACCACCACTATCACCATCAACATCATCACTATCACCACCATCACTACCACCACCATCACCATTATCACCACCAACACCACCACCATCACCACCACCATTACTATCTCCATCATCACCATCACCATCACTGTCGTCACCACCATTATCACTACCATCACCACCAACAACACCACCATATCACAATTACCATCATCACCACCAACACCACCATCACCACCACCATCACCACCATCACCACCACCATTACTATCTCCATCATCACCATCACCACCAGCACCATCACCACCACCATCACCACCACCATTACTATCTCCATCATCACCATCACCACCACTGTCATCACCACCACTATCACTACCATCACCAACACCACCACCAACACCACCATTACCATTACCACCACCACCACCATCATCACTATCACCAACACCACCATCACCATCACCACCACCAACACCACCACCAATGCCATCATCATCATCACCAACACCGCCATCCTCACCACCACCATCACCACCACCATTACCATCACCATCATCGCCAAGACCACCATAACCCTCAACCTCACCACCACCACTATCACCATCATCACCACCATCACCTTACAGTGTTCTTTTAAACGGTGTTCCCCAATTGTTGTTTCTCTAGTTTTTGGGGGAGATTTCAGTCTCCAGAAGCCAATGACAACTGAAGTCCCAAACCCATAGAGGACAAAAGTTTGGAAACTTCTGCTTTAAATAGTCATCCCAACAACAACAACAACAACAACAACAACAAAAGCACAAGAAGACACTTATGTTTCTGAATAGCCCGATATGGAATGGTCCTGTTGTCATGCAGTTCTCAGCATCCATCAACTTCATTCCCATATCATAAGGCAGCAAGCTAACTTAGGGAGGCATCTGCACTGGTGGAACAAATGCATTTTGATACCACTTTCCCTGCAACTATGCTTTCCAGTTTGGAAAAGTGGCATTTTGGAGTTGCAGGTCCCAGCTCCTCCCCAACCACATTCCCTGACAGTATTATTATATATATTATGACAACAAGTTAAGCAGGAGTTCATTTACACTATGGAATTAATATGGTTTGAAACCATTTCCACTGCCATGGGTTTGACAGGGAAGGTTAAAGACCTTGTAGAACTACAACTCCCAGATTCCATTGCATTGAGCCAGGGCAGTTAAAGTTGTGTCAAAGTTGCATTAATTCCACAGTGTAGATCAGGCATGGACAAACGTGGGCCCTCCAGGTGTTTTGGACTTCAACTCAATTCCTAACAGCTGATTAAGAATTGGCTAAGCTAGAGGGCTGATAGGAACTGCAGTCCAACAGACCCAGAAAGGGCTAGCTTAAGGGCTGGAGTGCTTCTCCATGTCCCCAATTCACCCATGCACAGTTTGGAAATGTTACCTTTATTCAGACAGCCTAAAACAGTGGTTACCAACCTTTGGTCTGTGAGGCACCAGTGGTCTGCAAGAATGAAAATATGGTCCGCGACCTCACCCCGCAGCAACTGGTTTCGTGAAATGGGGATGTTGAAATGGGAGAGGATGACTACTCAGGAAAGATTAATACTACCACATCAGCTCTAGATTATTAAATATAGTTTTCTGTGGGAGAACAGATGGCAACTACTGGATGGCATTTGTTCTGTATCAGAAACTAGGGCTGATGTGGTCTATCCAATGCAATATTCTGAATCAGCATGCCAAATAACCAAACCAAATCTAAAGTTGACCAAAAACTGATTCATAACTCTGTCCAGAGGAGGACAACTAAAATGATCAAGAGTCTGGAGAATAAACCCTATGAGGAGCGACTTAAAGAGCTGGTTTAGCCTGATGAAGAGAAGGCTGAGAGGAGACATGATAGCCATGTATAAATACGAGAGAGGAAGTCATAGGGAGGAGGGAGCAAGCTTGTTTTCTGTTGCTCTGGACACTAGGATGTGGAACAATGGCTTCAAACTACAAGAAAGGAGATTCCATCTGAACATGAGGAAGAACTTCCTGACTGTGAGATCTGTTCAGCAGTGGAACTCTCTGCCCTGGAGTGTGGTAGAGGCTCCTTCTTTGGAAGCTTTTAAACAGAGGTTGGATGGCCATCTGTCGGGGGTGCTTTGAATGCAATTTTCCTGCTTCTTGGCAGAATGGAGTTGGACTGGATGACCCATGAGGTCTCTTCCAACTCTAGGATTCTGATTCTTTTGGTATTAATGCTGGAGAGTGGTCCTTGGTCAAAAAAGGTTGGGAACCACTGGTCTAAAGCAAAGTCTAGTCCTGGGCGGGGTGGGAGATTGCCATGGGATCAAGAAACCCCAAATCTGCAAAGCCAGCCGTCTTTAAGCTAAGATCTAAATGTTTGCTTAGTACCTATAAACAGTATTGACCCCTCCTAGGGTTTAAGCAGAATTCAAGAAAACAAAAGAATGTGGTTGGAGATCTATTGATTATTCTCTGGGCAATTGAAAGAAAAAGGGAAACAGACAGAAGTCAGTTAGCTCAGTTGGTTAGAACGTGGTGCTAATAATGCCAAGGTCGATGCCATACAGGCCAGTGACTATTTTAAATTCTTATGGTCAGTCATCCAATGTCAACGAGTCAGCTAATATGACTCCTTGGGTACATCTGCACCAAGCATGGGCCAACTTGGGCCCTCCAGGTGTTTTGGACTTCAACTCCCACCATTCCTATCAGCCTCAGGCCCTTTCCTTTTCCCCCTCAGCCGCTTAAGCAGTTGAGGGGGAAAAGGAAGGGGCCTGAGGCTGTTAGGAATGGTGGGAGTTGGAGTCCAAAACACCTGGAGGGCCCAAGTTTGTTCATACCTGATCTACACTCTAGAATTAACAAAGTTCATCATCATTTGAACTGCCATAGCACAATGTTACAGAATCATGAGAGTTCTAGTTTTCCTAGGKCTTTGAGCCATCTCTGCTAGAGGGTAGGTGCCTCTCCAAACTGCAAATCTCTGGATTCCTGCCACCTAGCATTGTAATTTAGGTGATACCAAGCTGTATTAATTCTACAGTATAGATACACCATCTGTCCATCTCTTAACACTGCTGTGAAAAGGTAATTCTACCCATATCCTGTTTGTATGGGTTTGCCCTTGACCATGGTGGGCCATGGTGGGTATGAATCWGTACAKGKRMWCATCTTTGTTTACATGTACAGCAGCTGTTACTATTATTAAGAATCTATAAATAKAGGCTGACCAAGGGCAAGATGGATGGATGATATCCTTGAAGTGACTGGATTGACCTTGAAGGAGCTGGGGGTGGTGATGGCCAACAGGGAGTTCTGGYGTGGACTCGTCCATGAAGTCACGAAGACTTGGAAATGACTGAATGACTGAACAACAACAATAAACATAGGGAATTTTTAGGCCAGGGTTTCCGTTTGCAGGATCTCTTATGGCGAAACATGATCCCACCAACTTCACTTACTTCAATATCCTTGGCACAACAGGGGGAAATCCAACAGGTTTTACACAGAGGTTTTCCCATCTGGGAGTTGAAGTCCCAAACGCCTGGAGGGCCAGAGTTGGGAACTGCTCCATTAAGTCGATGGAACTGATGTATGTGTTGACTTTCCATTTAATAATAATTCATTCAGTACATCTAAGCTAGGATTCAAATCATCCACCAGTTCCTGGAAAAATGATATTTTAGACTTTTTAGGGAAATCTGGGAGCTGTAGTCCAAAAGTTACTTTTCCAAACTCTGTAGGACATTCACGCATAATAGACATAGCACAGGGAACATAGAACAAGAATAGGAATCATGGAGCCACAATAGTTATTGGACTGCAACTCCCATCATCCACTAGCCCTGTGTTTCTCAACTGGGGGTGGGGGTAGTGAGTGGGTGTCAGAGGAGTCACCAAAACCATCAGAAAACACAGTATTTTCTGTTTGTCATGGGGGTTGTGTGTGGGAAGTTTGGCCCAATTCTATCGTTGGTGGGATTCAGAATGCTCTTTGATGCTAGGTGAATTATAAATACCAGAAACTACAAATCCCAAATGTCAAGGTCTATTTCCCACAAACTCCACCAGTGTTCCCATTTGGGCATATTGAGTATTTGTACCAAGTTTGGTCCAGATCCATTATTGTTTGAGTCAGCATTGCTCTCTGAATGTAGGTGAACTACAACTCCTGGTGGTCGGGACCCCGGGAAGGAGGATCGCAAGGGGTTTTCAGAGGGGTCAGCAAATACCATCAGAAAATACAGTATTTTCTGTTGGTTATGTGGGTTCTGTGTGTGAAGATTAGTGGGGTTCAGAATGCTCTTTGATGATAGGTGAACTATAAATCAACTCCCAAATGTCAAGGTCTATTTTCCCCAAACTCCACAAGTGTTCACATTTGGGCTTATGTAGTATTTGTGCCAAGTTTGGTCCAGATCCATCATTGTTTGAGTCCACGGTGCTCTCTGGTTGTAGGTAAACTACAACTCCAAAACTCAAGGTCAATGTCCACCAAACCTTCCAGTATTTTCTGTTGGTCATGGGAGTTTTGTGTGCCAAGTTTAGTTCAATTCCATCGTTGGCGGAGTTCAGAATGCTCTTGTAAGTGAACTATAAATCTCAGCAAGTTTAACTCCCAAATGACAAAATCAACTCCCTCCCGCTCAAACCCCACCAATATTAAAATTTGGGGATATTGGGTAATTGTGCCAAATTTGGTCCATCGAATGAAAATACATCCTGCAGATTAGATATTTACATTACGGTTCATAACAGAAGCAAAATTACAGTTATGAAGTACTAATAAAAATAATTTTATGGTTGGGGGTCACCACAACATGAGGAACTATATTGAGGGGTTGCAGCATTAGGAAGGTTGAGAAACACTGTAACAGTGAGGATAATTGCAGTTTTTAGCCCAAAATCATGGGGGAAGATCCCTCAATTCCTTTCCCTGAGTACAGCAGTCAACTTGTAAGCATTTCTCCTAAGGCCCTACAAGGGGGAGCAGGGAGCAAATTCTCCGAGTGCTGGACAGAGAAAGGTTAAGAAGACAACCAGTCTCCTCACTTTCAATAGTTGGCCAAAATGCCACGGGTTTTTTTCCCCCTTTGCTTCATTGTTTATTGTGCTCTATAGCATCCTGGTCTGTTGTTTGCAGTAGGTTTCTGTTGGCTGCAAAGGTTCAAAACAGCTGTGTACCCACTGGCATATGAGCAGAAGGCTGGGCCAAAGCGTGACTTGGACACAAACAGACATTATTAATTGCTCAGCTGGTCTCTCTAACTGTGGTCTGATCCATTTCCAAGAGCGGAGATATGGTCATGATGGCCAAGATTTTTCTCAATGTTCCCACAATGCTGTAACTATGCTTGAACTCCCCAAAGCCCACCTCAAAAGCCACGTAGCTACCAGGAATGATGGAGATCCATTTTGTTGTCGAGTTCGTAGCTGCCTTTGGTGGCAGATTTTGAGTATTGCTAAAAAGTCACCAAATTGTTAATTCTTGACTTTTGTTATTGTTGTATCCTCACTACAATGGATGGGGAGAACTGTTTGTTCTTATGTCTTTCAAGTCACGGAAAGATACGTTCAGAGTCAAAATGTCCCCGTTGCCTTCATCTAATATGGAGAGAAAGGACGTGTAATAAAATGAATGAAGTTTTGAGGCTCAGACCTATCCAATTCTATCTCACATCTACACTGTGAAATTGATATAATTTGACAGCAACTTAAATAGTCATGGCTCGGTACTGGGAGTTGTAGTTGGGGTTTTTTTTTGTCGTGTAAGGAGCAAGTCGCTTCTGGTGTGAGAGAATTGGCCGTCTGCAAGGACGTTGCCCAGGGGACGCCTGGATGATTTGATGTTTTTATCATCCTTGTGGGAGGCTTCTCTCATGTCCCCGCATGAAGAGCTGGAGCTGATAGAGGGAGCTCATCCACCTCTCCCCGGATTCGAACCTGCGACCTGTCGGTCTTTAGTCCTGCCGGCACAGGGGTTTAAGCCACTGCGCCACTGGGGGCTCCTGTAGTTGGGTGAGGCACCAGCATTCTTTGGTAGGGAAGGCTAAAGACCTTGTAAAGCTACAGCTCCCATGATTCCATAATATTGAGTCATGGCAGTTAAAGCGGTGTCAAACTGCACAAATTCCCCAGTGTAGATGCACCCTAAATCAGTCACTTGTGCCTTTGCCCCTGGTACTCTATTCCACCCTTCAAACTATAATAAGTAAACCTTCAAACTACAAGAAAGGAGGTTCCATCTGAACCATAGAATTATAGAATCAAAGAGTTGGAAGAGACCTCATGAGCCATCCAGTCCAACCCCCTGCCAAGAAGCAGGAATATTGCATTCAAATCACCCCTGACAGATGGCCATCCAGCCTCTGTTTAAACATTAGGAAGAACTTCCTGACTGTGAAAGCTGTTCAGCAGTGGAACTCTCTGCCCCAGAGTGTGGTGGAGACTCCTTCTTTGGAGGCTTTTAAACAGAGGCTGGATGGCCATCTGTTGGGGATGCTTTGATTCCATCGCTACGTCTTTGTTGGGCAGTTCTGGAGTTCTCCTCCGACAGACAGAAAGAAATGAAGACGGAAGGAAGGAACTTTCAAAGACCATTCCTTGTGTTTATTTGCTCACGAGAAGTATACTATGTTATCAATTTTGCTCAAACACTCACCACCTTTAGAAAGGAAAGGCAAAGGGATTTGTGGTTTTGGCACGCGCAGCGAGTAAACAGGTCCGTTTCATGGCTTCTAACAAAGCCATACAGTATGTGGAATGAGACACGGGATTCGTGATATAAATCTTTATCGATTTTGCTTTTAGAGGCAAGACCAAATAATGTGTCCCTTTTCCTCCCCATCGTGAGAAAGTCATCAAAAGACTATTTACATTTTCAGGAATATTCAGGCTCAATATCAGCAGAGAAGGCTAAAGACCTTGTAAAACTACAGCTCCTAGGATTTCAAAGCCATAAACCATGGCAGTTCAAGTGGTGCCAAACTGCATTAATTATACAGTGTAGATGCACCCTCTGTCCCTCCATCTGCTCAGTGCAGCTGCTTCTTGTGGTTTGATATTAAGATTATCCCAAAATCCCAACTTCGATTTCGAGGTTGCTTTCCTGAGGGCTCTGATATTGGGTTGCTGTAAGTTTTCCGGCTGTATGGCCATGTTCCAGAAGCATTCTCTCCTGATGTTTCATCCACATCTATGGCAGGCATCCTCAGAGGTTGTGCGGTCTCTGATATTGTCCCTAGCCTTGCTGATCATGTCTCTTTCTTTTCCTTCTTAGCTTATCTGCAAGCTTCCCGGGCCCTTATGATCACCGCACTGGTGTTTGGTTTCTTAGGCATCCTGTGCGGCATGCTGGGTCTGCAATGCACCAAAGTGGCCGAAGACAGTCCCAACCTGAAGTCTAAGATGGCTGTTGTTGCTGGATGCATGTTCCTCCTGGCTGGTGAGTCGAGTTCACACATGACCATTGCTATCTTCTACCACTTACTTAGTTATGATTGCCTAACTACCTAATTTCTTTGATTGTAAGATATAGTCATTTGGTGGTACTGAAATTAGTGTGCACTTTACGATCCGATGGCATCTCAGAATTAAGAAAAATAGTGGGACATCTAATTACCTCTCAAAAAAAAAAAAAGGTTTGCCCCAGGCACAGTCAGGCCATTGTATGCTAATCAAGGTGGTCAGTTGAAACATTCACACCTAGCTCCAGCAGACAAGAGTCCTATGTCTCACCCTGGTCATTCCACAGATATATAAACCCTTTTGCCTAGTTCCAACAGACCTCACTACCTCTGAGGATGCTTGCTATAGATGCAGGCGAAACGTCAGGAGAGATTGCCTCTAGACCATGGCCATATAGCCCAAAAAAACCTACAACAACCCAGTAATTCCAGCCATAAAAGCCTTTGACAATACAAAATAGTAAATAACTTCTCCTGATCTGATCGTCACTGTGGCGCAGCTGGCTGGGAATCAGCTGCATTAAGGTCAGAGTGAGCTTCCGACCAATTTGTGTAGCTTGCTGTTGACCTTTGCAGCCTGAAAGACAGTTTCTGTCAAGTAGGAAATTTAGGTACTGCTTATGCATCGAGGCTAATTTAACTAATTTACAAGGCCATAAAAATCTCCAGCAAGCATGCAAAGAATGAGAAAGTACTTCATCAGTGTCACAAATGGATGGTGAAGGGACAGCTCCTCTGGTGGCCAGAATACCCTCATGAAAAGCTGAAATGTTAAATAGCCTCTGAGTGTCTGTCTATATATGTTGTGTGTTTATGGCATTGAATATTCGACATGTATATGTACATTGTAATCCGCCCTGAGTCCCCTGTGGGGTGAGAAGGGCAGAATATAAATACTGTAAATAAACAATAAATAAATAAATCGTCTACAGCCTACCTGAAGAGCCAGCAGCCAGACTGAAAGATAGAGGTCCATTTAGAAGGCAATTGGGACACAAGAAGAGGATGTTTCCAGTTCCTTTCTATCCATGAGTGAGGTTTCAATGAGGAATTATGAGGTCCTGGTTCTCAGAGGTGGAAAGGGATTGAAATTGACCTTCTCTTAGACTCTGATCTCCAGCTGAACAAACCTCTGTCATTTGGTGAGGTTGCTGGTTCTTAAGGTAGGCTGCGGGGGGCATTTATGGTCATGGCAATAGTGCTACGATTGCATAGGAGCAGTTACGGATCTGTACCTGCAAGACAACATGCCAACCATAAATTTCAAAGTCCAAAACATCACAGCATTAAGTTCAGAGGTAGGGAATGTTGGGAGTTGCATTGCTGCAATGTCCAAAGAGCCACATGATTCCCTGCTCTAAAAACACAATGTAAAAAAAACAACAAAACCCATAATTTTGCTGAAATAGACATGTGTATTATTCTATCAGATTTGTTTAAAGGAAAGGCGTGCATGCATGTTTGGAGGCTACTATTGCCTTACCACTTAGTAGCTTACTTAACTTATGAAATCTGCATCTTCTTCCTCATGCTATGTCACGTTTGGCTTAAGTTTTCTGTTTTTTTTCTCCCTGCTCAGGTCTCTGTGGCATGGTGACGATCTCCTGGTACGCCTTCAATATTACCCGCGACTTCTTTAACCCGCTCTTTGCTGGTACAAAGTAAGTCCATAACATAGTGGCAAATGGAGGGTAGGGGGGATGTAGGGCAACAAGCAGAGAGCAAACTTGTTTAGGCACAAGAGGGGAGATAAAATGGGGAATAATAATAATAATAATAATAATAATAATAATAATAATAATAATAAAGACTCTGGCACAAGCCAGTAAAGGTGGTCCCAGTGGTGATCGGCACACTGGGTGCAGTGCCTAAAGACCTTGGCCTGCACTGCAACACAATCGGCGCTGACAAAATTACCATCTGCCAGCTGCAAAAGGCCACCCTACTGGGATCTGCATGATTAGACTGCTGCAATGTGCTCTACGTGGGGCTGCCTTTGAAGACTGCATGGAAGCTTCAATTAGTCCAACGGTTAGCAGCCAGGTTGCTCACCAGAGGAGCATACAACTCCTCTGTTACACCAGCTCCACTGGTTGCCGATCTGCTTCCGAGCACAATTCAAAGTGCTGGTTTTAACCTTTAAAGCTCTAAATGGTTCTGGCCCAGACTACATCTCCAAACGTATCTCCTACTACGAATCATCATGAAGTTTAAGATCATCTGGAGTGGCCCTGCTCTAGATCCCACTGCCTTTGCAAATGTGATTGGTGGAGATGAGAGGCAGGGCCTTCTCAACAGTGGCCCCCCATCTGTGGAATTCCCTCCCYAAAGACATCAGGCTGGCCACCTCCCTCCTGTCCTTTAGAAGGAAACTCAAGACCTGGCTGTGGGATCTTGCATTTGACCATTGAACAGCGGCTTGTATGAAGAAGACATAAGCAATTTCGAAGTGACAATGAATTGACCCGGACCCRGATTTTAATTGACRTGTTTATTTGTTGATTGTTCTTATCATTATGATGGCACCGAATGGTGTCTGCTGTGAAGCTGCCCTGAGTCCCCCTTTGGGGGTGAGAAGGGYGGGGTACAAGTATATGAAATAAATGAAATAAAATAAATAAATTAGTTGCAGATATATCACACAGTCCTAGACACTTGGGAAGTGTYYGATGTGTGATTCAATACAACAGCCAGCAGAGTGATCTTGTTCGCTGGGGACTCAACTTGTTGTGTTTCAAATATAATAACAATAACAACAACAACAACAACTGCAAAGACTCTGGCACAAGCCAGTAAAGGAATATTGTGTTCAATTCTGGGCACCACAATTCAAGAGAGATATTGACAAGCCGCAAAGTGTCCAGAGGAGGGTGACTAAAATGATCAAGGGTCTGGAGAACAAGCCCTATGACGCGCGGCTTAAGTAGCTGGGCATGTTTAGCCTGAAGAAGAGAAGGCTGAGAGGGGATATGATAGCCATGTATAAATATGTGAGAGGAAGCCACAGGGAGGAGGGAGCAAGCTTGTTTTCTGCTTCCCTGGAGACTAGTTTGTAGTTTGTAGTTTGAAGCGAAACAATGTGACTGTGAGAGCCGTTCAGCAGTGGAACTCTCTGGCCCAGAGAGTGTGGTGGAGGCTCCTTCTTTGGAAGCTTTTAAAAAGAGGCTGGATGGCCATCTGTCAGGGGTAATTTGAATGCAACACTCCTGCTTCTTGGCAGGGGGTTGGACTGAATGGCCCATGAGGTCTCTTCCAACTCTTTGATTCTATGATTTGATTCTGTGATTCTAAGGTGGTCCCAGAGGTGATCGGCACACTAGGTGTGGTGCCTAAAGACCTTGACCTGCACTTAAAAACAATTAGTGCTGACAAAATTACCATCCGTCATCTGCAAAAGGCCACCCTACTTGGATCTGCACCATCTGCCGATACATCACATATTCCTAGACACTTCGAAAGAGTCTGATATGTTATCCAATACAACAGCCAGCATAATGATCTTGTTTGCTGTGTACTAATCCTGTTGTGTATCAAATAATAATAATAATAGTTATCATTGGATTGGCACGAACATTGCCCCTTGGTTGGAGCCCAAGATCTCAGAATCTCACGATCTAAAAACTGCCCAAAATCTAGCATGGAAATGAAAAGTGCTAGAAGTGTTATGTTTATATGGATCAGACCAACTGAAGGAACTGGTTCTCAATGTGTCTGTTTTTTCATGGCATAGGTATGAAATTGGGCCTGCTCTCTACCTGGGATGGAGCGCGTCACTGCTGGTGATCATTGGTGGGGGATGTCTGTTCACTTCATGTCGGAAACAGTTAGCACAGGAACCGAAGTGAGTGAGAGTTGTGTTTGACAAAGCTGGCTCGTCCATTTTTCTGTGGGTTGTCCCATTTCTTTGTTATTGCCTTCATTGCTTTTTTTTGTTTTTATTTCCATTGTTCCTCCCTGGGTAGCTGATTTTTTCCTACATACAGTATAATTATGTTATTCTTCCATTAACTCCCAGCATTAGCATTGATAAAGAATGGTTAAAAAAGGGCTGTAGAAACACAGACTTCAGTGTTAGGTTGCATCAGCCAATCTGCAGGAAGCGATGCAATGAAGCATGAGATGGAAAAGAATGGGATTCTATTCTAGCAGATTGATGCCATAGCTATGTGTGTCTGCCTACAAAAGGCAAGGTGAACAGCAGCTTTTACTAGAATTCCTTAGTGAATGTATATGAATAGAGAGAAAAGGAGAACACCTAGCTTGAAGGCATCTACATTGTGGAATGAATGCAGTCTGCCCCACTTTTAACTGCCATGTCTCAATACTTGGAATCTTGGGATCTGAAGTTTGGTGAGACACTAGAACAGCATTTCTCAACCTAGGGGTCAGGACCCCGGCGGAGGGGGTCAGAGGGATCACCAAAGACGATTAGAAAACACAGTATTTTCGGTCGGTCATGAGGGTTCTGTGTGGGAAGTTTGGCCCAATTCTATTTTTATTCATTACATTTGGCCCAGTCCTTAGTTTTAAATGTGTCATGATGTTATTGTTTTATTGTTTTACTGTTATTGCTTTAATGTTTATTGGTTTGCTTTCTGAGTTTTATTGTTGTATTTCTTATGCTGTTGTTTTATTGAGGGCCTTGGCCTTTGTAAGCCGCACTGAGTCCTTCGGGAGATGTTAGTGGGGTACAAATAAAGTTAATAATAATAATAATAATAATAATAATAATAATAATAATAATTGGTGGGGTTCAGAATGTTCTTTGATTGTAGGTGAACTATAAATCCCAGCAACTACAATTCCCAAATGTTAAGGTCTATTTCCCCCAAAATCCACCAGTGTTCACATTTGGGCATATTGAGTATTCGTGCCAAGTTTGGTCCAGATCCATCATTGTTTGAGTCCACAGTGCTCTCTGGATGTAGGTGAACTACAACTCCAAAATTCAAGGCCAATGCCCACCAAACCCTTCCAGTGTTTTCTGTTGGGCATGGGAGTTCCCAAATGACGAAATCAATCCCCCCACCCCTCAAATCCCACCAGTATTCAAATTTGGGCATTTCGGGTATTTGTGCGAAATGTGGTCCAGTGAATGAAAATACATCCTGCACATCAGATATTTACATTATGATTCACAACAGTAGCAAAAGGAGAGTTATGAAGTAGCAACAAAAATGATGTTATGGTTGGAGGTCACCACATAGGAGCTCTCGGTGGTCCAGTGGGTTAAACTGCTGAGCTGCTGAGCTTGTTGACCGAAAGGTTGCAGGTTCGAATCCAGGGAGCGGCATGAGCTTCCACTGTTATCCCAGCTTCTGTCAACCTAGCAGTTCAAAAAGATGCAAATATGAGTAGATCAATAGTTACTGCTCCAGTGGGAAGGTAATGGCGCTCCATGCAGTCATGCCGGCCACATGACCTTGGAGGTGACTATGGACAATGCTGGCTCTTCGGCTTAGAAATGGAGATGAGCACCAACCCCCAGAGTCAGACATGACTGGACTTAATGTCAGGGGAAAACCTTTACCTGGGGGTCACCACAACATGAGGAACTGTATTAAGGGGTCACAGTATTGGGAAGGTTGAGAAGCACTTCACTAGAAGTATTTGCAAAGAAAATGAAGACCTTATAAAACTGCAAATCTCAGAATCCCATGCTTTTGTGTCTTGACAGTTTTGCGTATTCATACAAGGCCACCAAGAGTCCAATGACGGCTCCTGCAGCTTCGGTCCCTCGTCCTCGCGTCGAATCCACCACCAGCAGCACTGGGAAGTATGGCAGGAATGCTTATGTCTGAACCTGCATTGGAAATAGGGGGCCGTGACCCCCTGAAAAAACATTTTGCGGATGTCTCTCAGGCAGCCTGGAACCTGAACGGGTTTTCTTTCGGAACAGAGACAGAAAGGGACAAAGGAAACCTCAGTCCCGTCTCAAGCCCAGGTCTTGTGATGATGCTAGGAATTGGATGGAGGCTCCAATTTTCCATCTTTGAGTCTGAGCCTAGCAAATAATGCCTTGTCCAAGATTATTTATTGCAAGGGAGAGCTGTGTTGTGTATCACAATTTTGTCCACTTTCCCTTCTGCTTGGATGGAATTATCTTTGGGGTTTTTCGGTGCCCTGTGATCAGATATAGTTGATACTGGAAAGCTACGGGGACTTGGTTGAATCACACCTTCCTCCTGGAGAACCTCTTTCTTCACTTACTGGTGGCGCTTGTCCCTTCCGTAGATCAAATGAAGAGACTTTATGAAATGGACTGATCTTTTTTTTAAAATAGTGTATTCCAGAAACTAACATTAATCTAAGTGGTGGGGGCACCTCAGCACAAATTTGCCTAAATATATTTAAATGGCTATTTTCTTAATAATATGGAAGTTGTGTATTTTTCCAAACCCTATGTGTACTGATCTTGCTGAACCGGGAGCTGGGATAGGGAACCTAAGTGGCAGAAATGAAGGTCAACAATGTCAAAATAAGAGATCTGATGCTGACAATTGCTTGAGAAACATCAAGAGCAACACTGCAATCTGGGACACTCTCTCCAAGGAGTAAGTCCTCTTGAAGACATGAGACCTTGCACCTGAGTGGACACACATAGGCTTGTGGGGTTTACTCCCCATTGGTATACAGTAGACTCCTGCAGAAGTGAGAGGATCCCTCTTGTCCAGAGGAAAAGTGTTCTTGCCATACATCAAGGGAACCACTGACCGCATAGGGAAGCTGATGAGGAAACACAACATACAAACTATCTACAGACCCACCAAGAAAATCCAACAAATGCTATGTTCAGCAAAGGACAAGAGGGACCCTCTCACTTCTGCAGGAGTCTACCATGTACCATGCAGCTGTGGACAAGTCTACATAGGGACCACCAAAGCAGCATTGCCCAAACACGAATCAAGGAACATGAAAGGCACTGCAGACTACTTCAACCAGAGAAATCAGCCATAGCAGAGCACCTTATGAACCAACCTGGACACAGCATTTTATTTGAGAACACAGAAATGCTGGACCACTCTCACAACCACCATGTCAGACTACACAGAGAAGCCATTGAAATACACAAGCATGTGGACAATTTCAACAGAAAGGAGGAAACCATGAAAATGAACAAAATCTGGCTACCAGTATTAAAAAACTCTAAAATTACAACAGCACAACAAGAGGAAACAAACAAGGACATCTAATCACCTCTCAACAAAAGTTTGCTCCAGGCACTGCCAGGATCAAATGCTAATCAAGGTGGTCAGTTGAAACATTCACACCTAGCTCCAGCAGACAAGAGTCCTTTGTCCCACCCTGGTCATTCCACAGATATATAAACCCATTTTCCTAGTTCCAACAGATCTCACTACCTCTGAGGATGCTTGCCATAGATGCAGGCGAAACGTCAGGAGAGAATGCCTCTAGAACATGGCCATATAGCCCAAAAAAACCTACAACAACCTAATATATGCATTGCCATATACTTTCAAGTCATTTCCAAGTTATGGGGATCCTAAGGCTAACCTATCACAAGGTTTTCTGGGGCTGAGAATGTGTGACTCACTCAAATCATTCAATGGTTTTCCCTGTTTCAACAGGGAATTAAATCCTGGTCTCTGGAGTCATGGCTCAACACTTAAACCACTACACTGGCTCTGATTGAATACATATATTTTGATTTATCATTATGTCACCATTCCAACAGGAACAAAATGAAAACACAGGTTGAAGTGGGTAGGAACAACTCCTATTTCAAGAGTTGGAACACTGGCTACTGAAATACCTTCATGGGCTTGGGTTGAAAAGAGTATTTGGCTTTTGGTACAAGGAAGTTAAGATGGCACCTAATCTTGAATCCTTATAGAACGGCCTTTCTCAACTTGGGGGTCGGGACCCCTGGGGGTCAGAGGTGTCAAAGGGGTCGCCAAAGACAATTATAAAACACAGTATTTTCTGTTGGTCATGGGAGTTCTGTGTGGGAAGTTTGGCCCAATTCTATGGTTGGTGGGGTTCAGAATGCTCTTTGATTGTAGGTGAACTATAAATCTCAGCAACTACAACTCCCAAATGTCAAGTTTATTTTCCCCAAACTCCACCAGTGTTCACATTTGGGCATATTGAGTATTCATACCAAGTTTGGTCCAGATCCATCATTGTTTGAGTCCACAGTGCTCTCTGGATGTAGGTGAACTACAACTCCAAAACTCAAGGTCAATGCCCACCAAACCTTCCAGTATTTTCTGTTGGTCATGGGAGTTCTGTGTGCCAAGATTGGTTCAATTCATTCCATCATTGGTGGAGTTCAGGAGTCTTACCGTGTACCAGCTGTGGACAAGTCTACATAGGGACCACCAAACGCAGCGCCCAAACACAAATCAAGGAACATGAAAGGCACTGCAGACTACTTCAACCAGAGAAGTCAGCCATAGCAGAGCACCTGATGAACCAGCCTGGACACAGCATATTATTTGAGAACACAGAAATGCTGGACCATTCCAACAACCACCATGTCAGACTACACAGAGAAGCCATTGAAATCCACAAGCATGTGGGCAATTTCAACAGAAAGGAGGAAACCATGAAAATGAACAAAATCTGGCTACCAGTATTAAAAAACTCTAAAATTACAACAGCACAACAACAGAGAGGAAACAAACAAGGACATCTAATCACCTCTCATAAAAGTTTGCTCCAGGCACTGCCAAGCAATCAAATGCTAATCAAGGTGGTCAGTTGAAACATTCACATCTAGCTCCAGCAGACAAGAGTCCTTTGTCCCACCCTGGTCATTCCACAGATATATAAACCCTTTTTCCTAGTTCCAACAGACCTCACTACCTCTGAGGATGCTTGCCACAGATGCAGGCAAAACGTCAGGAGAGAATGCCTCTAGACCATGGCCATATAGCCCGAAAAAACCTACAACAACCCAAAACACATATTGTTTGGAACTGTAATGGATTCCATTCACTATGCTTTGAATTTCCACTTATGTTGGATGAACAGCTAAGCACAAGGAAGCTTTGGGAAGGGAAGTCATTGGTTTAGGTCACCCAATTAAAGGGATAGAATGCCAAATCTTACAGCTAAGTGGCTCTAAAATTATTAATATATTATGTATATATGACACATTTCTCCCAGAGAAAGACACAAGGTAGCCCACAAAAAGAACTTTCACTTTACCATGTTATCTCCCACTTTAAAAGGAAATACATCCTATTTTCAGCATTTTTAGAGTATTTAAATAGTCTGAAGTGCTGTGAGTTTATGTCCTTTCTTACTTGCTGGCTTTCCAGCCTCCTCTGAAAGGTATTACTGTCAAGGGAAGATTCATTTGAAGTCAGCTGTGTGAGCCACCACTCTTATCAAATTTGAATCAAACATAATCAAGCAATGGAAATCATTCTGGGTTCCCTAATACACAAGAATCCTTCTTTGGAAGCTTTTAAACAGAGGCTGGATGGCCATCTGTCAGGGGTGCTTTGAATGCAATATTCCTGCTTCTTGGTAGGGGGTTGGACTGGATGGCCCATGAGGTCTCTTCCAACTCTTTGATTCTATGAATGTAGTTACAAAGAGGGGAACAAAATGAGGGCAAATATGATTTAACGCCCTTCCAAATGAATTTTTCCTCCAGTTCTCCACTTTCCAACATTGCAGTAACTTGAAACTTCAATTGAGCATATGGAAATACTTTAAGTATGCAAAGAAAAGAGGCAGAAAATTATAACACAAATGCAAATATAGCAAATATGAGTTCTAGATGTGGCGTATTTTTTAGTGTTTCACTCAATTGCAACAAGATTATGGGATGGAGGGGAAATTCCTTTGGGGAGTAGAATGCTTATTTTTTGAGAGGTTGCAGGACGAATGTCCTCATATTGCCCCAACACAATCCAAACCAGGGAGAAGCATACATGGATTTCTTTACTTCCAGTGGCCCGTAGTGCAATCTGATCCATGTTTATTCAAGAGGCACTGGCAGTCATGACTCTTAAGCCTCCTTGCAAACATAGATGTATGAGAAGCAGAACTCATGTTGATTGAACAACCACCCAAACAACAACCAACCCCAACCCCAACCCCAACCCCAACCCCAACCCCAACCCCAACCCCAACTCTAACCCTAACCCTTCCATTTGCAGCCTGGCAGCCTAGCTGAAGATTCATATAACTTTGGAGCATTCATTCCTCGTATTGTTGAAGGCTTTCATGGCCGGAATCACTGGGTTGTTGTAGGTTTTTTCGGTCTATATGGCCATGTTCTAGAGGCATTCTCTCCTGACGTTTCGCCTGCATCTATGGCAAGCATCCTCAGAGGCAAGCATCCACAAGCATGTGGGCAATTTCAACAGAAAGGAGGAAACCATGAAAATGAATGAAATCTGGCTACCAGTATTAAAAAACTCTAAAATTACAACAGCAAAACAGCAGAGAGATCTAATCTCAACAAAAGATTGCTCCAGGCACTACAGGCCATCAAATGCTAATCAAGGTGGTCAGTTGAAACATTCACACCTAGCTGCAGCAGACAAGAGTTCTTTGTCCCACCCTGGTCTTTCCACAGATATATAAAACCTTTTTCCTAGTTCCAACAGACCTCACTACCTCTGAGGATGCTTGCCATAGATGCAGGTGAAACGTCAGGAAAGAATGCCTCTAGAACATGGCCATACAGCCCGAACAAACCTACAACTCATTCATTCCTCGATTTCATATGAACAGTAGCAGGATTCATTGTCTCTCCCTTGGGCCAAACTATTGAATCATTTGTGTTTGGAGTGACGACACAGTGGTTCTCAACCTTTGGTCCTCCAAGCACTTTGGTCTTCCAACTCCCAGAAATCCCAGCCATCTTACCGGTTGTTAACTGTGAGAGCTAAAGTCCAAAACACCTGGAGGACCAAAGGTTGGGAACCACAACTCTAGACTCAGCATGGCTTACTCTTCCTTTCATAGCCACCCAATAATGTGATGGAAGGTCAGCTGATAGCCCTGATTCCCTTTGGGGAGACAGAGTGGAATACAAAGTTGTTGTTGTTATTATTATTGTTATTATTGCAATGCAATACAGAGGTTTAATTTTGACAGGTTGACCATTCCTCCTTCTTCTCCGTCCTCTTGGCTGTTGGTTCGTGACAGGTGCAGAACAAATTTTATAAAACTATGTGTAGGGGCCACAGTGGCACAGTGAGTTTAACTGCTAAGCTGCAGAACGTGCTGAGAATCCGTGGGATGGGCTGAGCCCCTGCTGTTAGCCCCAGCTTCTGCCAACCTAGCAGTTCATAAACATGCAAACGTGAGTAGACTGATAGGTACCACTCTGGTGGGAAGGTAATGGTGCTCCATGCAGTCATGCCAGCCATATGACCTTGGAGGTGTCTATGAACATCAACAATTTAGCTTA